CCTTAGTCGTCTCTTACGACACCCACGGGAAAGAAAGAGATGGTGCGTTCTACTCCAAGACCATACCATATCTACATATTATTTATTTATTATCTCAAAATTGTAAAACATAGTAGTATAATCCAACTTTAAAATAATCGACTTTCTAATTTCATTAATAATTATAATTGAATTTTGACTTGTTACTCAGAACGTTACGTTCGCTACGTTCTTGTTCAGTTACACGTAAGAAAGTAATTAGTCTCTACTGACATCACAAGCATTCGAAGCATAAAATTAGTACTGTTTATTATTATATCCAAAACAATTATTTTAGCTCCAGTTAAATTAACTAACAGAGATATGTTCTATTTAATTTAGATGCTGTATCGCACTAAAATTATATTTGTCAACCCTACATAGCGACGTACATTTAATTAGCAGTCCGCAGTTAAACGCATTAACGGTCGTCAAGGCACAATAGGGCGCCCGCGCTGGGAGTCATGAACGTAACCATTTATTTGATGCTGTTGTGAAACACAATAATTACAAATAGATAACATCCTGCTTGCTATACCTATACCTAATAAAAAATAAGTATATTTAATTAAAACGCATTACTCGTCGTTTTATCAACTTAGATGCATAAACACTATTTATTGTTTCCTCCAAAAACAAACAACAACAAACTTATTATAGATACAAACAATTATAAAAAATGTTCACATTGAGAAAACAATGGGCGGCCTTATCACTAAAAGCGATCTCTTCCAAGTAACCTTTGGATGGAGAGGAGTAGTTACAGACAGTTGGATCGGAGGCACGATGAAGAATTCTGTTAGTTTTAAATACATATGAAGATGTAATACATGCAATAATGTAAATACATATTTAAATAGTATTTTTTTTTTTTTCATTTATTTATAAATTACTCACTACGCTTACAGTATCCCATAACGTATAGTGAGCCATAGGTTTATTTTACAAACTTTTAAACAACATTTAGAAAATCTATCTAATTTATCATATATAGATAATTGATTATAAGAGAAGTCTCACTGTACGGTAGAGATACTAAATTATAATATTATTCCCTTGCTTGAATGTGTTGGGTACCTATATAATGCTTCGGTAATCGTATTGATTCTACTAATACTCTAAATATGAAAATTTCTAAAGATATTTGGACATTTGTTAGTCAATCACGCTCGAACAGCTGAACCACAGGCTGAACGAATTTGAAAGAAATTTAATATTATATCATCGATAGTTTATATAATTATTAATTTTAAAAAATTGTTTCAGTTACAAAAAAAATTACAAGCTTACTTTAAAGCAGGTATATAAATAATAAAAATAAACACTATTGGGCATATAACACGATGCCATCTATTCCCAAATTGAACAAAATTTCTTTTTTTTATAAATACATATAATATGTAATTGATCGTGTAGAATATATCGGCATAGAATATGTCACCTCTTTCCCGTAGGTGTCATAAGAACCAATTAAGAGAGGGCGAGGGATGGACAGCAGCGTTCCACTTAAAACATCTCTAAAGCCTGACTGTGGTTGTCAATCTGCCTGCCAAGCGTAGTAACTACTCCAAAGAGGAGACTTATGTTCAGCAGTGGACGGTTAAAAGCTGATATGGTGAACATATAATATTTAATACAATAGTCGTCATAAACATAAACTTATTCTCTTTATCCCTAGTATTAAACTTATATTCCTATTTACAATAAATGTGAAAGTGTGTTTGTTACTTCTTGGCGCCTTAAAGGCAATTGTTATAAAATTGATATAGTACCTACACGTATTATAGGATAGAGAAGAGCATAGACTATTTTGATCCCGGTTAATGAATGAATGATTGATCGGAAGATCATGAGGAGTAGAAGCTCTTAAAATGGTTTTGATAGACTACAAATGGCATACTTATTTTCAGCTAATTTTAAAATCATTGTTATTATTATTACTTACATGCCAAATCACGACAAAATTGAAAGTAAATAAGACAAGTATCTAGGTAAGTATAATTTTGTAATAACTGGTTCATAAAACCATTAAGTAAGCAAATGCAATTTCTGAGAAAACGCGTGACTGAGAGAAATTTATACAGTAGGTAATATGTAAACGATTTACTATTGTAAGTATTCAGTCTAAATGGATTTTCATGCAGATTGTTCTATACCATATTGAGCTGCTTGCCCCGGTTTTGCACGTGAACCCATTTTTTTCAATTTTCCGAACGTTTTCTAACTTAGACCTTAACCTTGTCCTAACAATTACAACCACAACAAAAAAGAATTAGCCAAATAAGTACAACCGTTCTGAAGTGATTCGCTTATATATATATATTCAACAATTGATTTTTATTTATATAAATAATAATAAAACAATATTAATTAATACATAAATTTAATTAATAGCTTATAAATAAATCATTTATTATCGCTCTTGCGGTTGCATGTTCACGTTATAGATGTATTTAGAGGGGGCTAGGGGGGAGGGATTGCCCATTTTAATAACCGCAAGATAATGTGGAATCATATATTTATTGACTAACACAACTTAGATAACAACACAACTCAACTAAAACTCTATACAGTTGATGATATGGTCATATCATATGGTCAATCATATGAGTATGACCATAAATTAATACATATATCTAATTTAAGAGACAGACGTGATATTCACAACAGAAGTGTTTCCACACTGAACAGTATCCACGCCAGTATTATCTGGTACCCACCCCAAGATGCAAACAAAGCTTCGCAGTCATGTTTGAGTGTATTTATGTGCCTCTTTATAAGGAGTCAAGCCCCTGTAGAAAGTAACATTAAATATGCCAGTTTATGTAGATATAACAGTATTATGACAGTAGGTATCCATTCATTTGGAGAGAAAGGAATTAATGCGGGCTACCAGTCCCATTGCTAGCAATATACCCTGTCAGGTCGCCCTCCACGTGGTTACCTCTGGAAATCATCGTATTGAATTCTAGGTGTATTCATCACGTTGGATTAACTGATCTATTTCATTCTCACCTATCATCCCTCACACGTGCCCCGTCAGTATATACCGATAACGCAAGTGGGGTCATCATTCCATTATCATCTATGAAGTACCTATTTAGGGGGAAAGCGATTGTTAATAATGGAGTCTGACTCATTGCATTATACCCTATCAGGTCGACCTTCTCGCGGTTCCTCCTAGAAACTATCGTGGTTAATTCTAGTAGAATTCGTCACGGTGGTTTAACTGACCTGCTTTCATCGTCACCTATCAACCCTCACTGGAGCCCTGCCGGTATACACCATTAGCGCGAGCAGGGTTACCTCCATTATCACCCATTAAAAAAAAGTACCTATTTATTCTATAGTACCTATTTATTTTCCACGTATAAAGTCAGAAGAAACAAATAATCCTTATTCTTATAGTTTAGCTATTTTAGTCCAATAATTACATATATTTATACATTCATATATAAAAATTGTAACGGCCACATCATGTATTAAGATAATAAAAAGATAGGTATAATTACTTCGTCCGTGGCCCTTAAATAAATAAACAATTTATGATATATCTAGTAACTACTGTGTACCAAATATCTATTGCGTGGTATGTAGACATCAATAAAAATTGTCTTCTAGCAAACACTTACAGATACGATCAACAAAATGCACGCAAGCATGTTACAAAATAGAAACACGTCCATTTTATGTAAGTGTAGAGTTCTGAAAGTAATAAACAAGCTGACTTGATGAAAAAGTTTATCTATCTTCTTACGTGTTCAGTTCAATATCATTGTAATTTACAAAACAAACTGTACGGGACTTGAAACCCTATTGTGGCAACTTAATAGAGGATTTGGAGGTTGTTCAGTTGGATAATGTTTATATTATATGAATTTATCATGTATTGCTTTATTTTTCCTCTATTCAAAAATGCACCATCTGTATTTCTCGGTTTGCCTAATGGTTGTTTGGTAGAGAACACCGTCCGGTGTTAAGTCCTCCAAATGTACATAGAATTTTACTGTGCATTAAAGATTAAATAAATAAATAATGCCTAACTACAGCTTGATAGATCTTAAATATATAGTTTACGGTAGGTACAGTATTTATGGCATTCCGTCCTCGCTATTGAATACAGGTGACGGAATACTTATAGTAGTAGATACATGGTGTATTAATTGGTAATTTAATAAGCGCCATATTCGTGTAGCATGATGAAGGCATTGGTGGACGGCAGGAGATTGCAACAAATGAGTAAGTATTTGGCCTCCGAATTGGCGACTTTCACCGTCAATCGATTCCCTCGTCACAATATCGAATCACTGATCTTTTCAAAATCATGTTTAGATCAGCACGAAATTTGCAAAAGGTGGATAGATGAAGTTCTGTAGTAACAATAAATCATTAAAGATTAACCGTCCTTGGGATCCACTTTGAAGGAATGCTGTTTTAAGGCCCAAATCGTAATCAACCTGTGCGTGATGAGTAATGACAGTAAACTTGACCACATAGCAAATTGCAAAGGCCCACTGTAATACATGTAACCAACACTCTTCATATTAAGGTTTTCTAACTGGAACTTTTTTTAATGGATGATAATGAAATCGTAACACCACCTGCGCTATCACACGCGTTATATGCTGGCGGGGTATCAGAGAAGTTCTCGGGAAATGACCCAGGACTGTTTCCAGGAAGACCGCGTGGTGATCGACCTAACCGAGTATACCTACTGCTGGCAATGAGGCCGTTACACCCCATTACTAACAATCCCTTCTCCTTAACACTCAAGATGTGAGGTAAGATGTGATCTTTCTGAACCATGAAAGACCTTTAAAATAAACTTTTTTATATTTTTGTTCATCATATAGGATGATATTGATTTATTTAAATAATTTAATTTAAATCGTATAGGTAGGCACATAATAATGAAACCTCTTACCTCCTAGTTTTTCTTAATTTTACTGACTCATCAAATAGCGTAAATACATACTAACAAAATATAGAATAGAATATTCTCGAATTTGCATGAAATAGCGCCTTCAATGCTTTGGTATTTTATCTGGTGTTAGAGGGCACGGGGGTTCATTAGACGGCTGGCAGGGGTCACAGGGAGAACAGGGAGGTGGCGACGGCGGTGTGGCGCAGTCTTTAGGTTCGGGCGGAGGAGGCGGGCATGGCGGCGGCGGGGGAGGTTCGGGATCAGGGACGCACTCATAGTAGCAGTGCCCATCCCACCACCATGCAGTACCTGGACTCGGTAAATAGCTGAAGCACACCTGTTAACGATTAGATTTATTTTTAACATTCTAATATCAAAAACAATTGTTTAAAGAATTCAGATTATTGAAAATTCGTACTGGTCATTACAACAAAGGCGCCGCGCGAGGACTATTTTGGAACCCTTTGATGTAGCATCATGTAACTATATTTCAAGATTTTTTTCTGGGCTACAGCTTGTATAGAGGAGAACAGAGATTGTTAGAAATGTAAACTATCAGCCAAATACTAGCAAATTGCTTTATTAGGTCGACCTCCACGCGTTTCCTGGAAACACAGATTTACAAAACTTATAAGCATCGACACTTATTGTATATACAGCGTGGGAGGAGCAGGCTGGCCAAAATGAAAACAGCAGATTCAGAGAATGGTCAGAAACAAATGGCAGATTATTTTACCATCGAAAATGCACAGCCATATAAATAACGATTCTTAGTTTTGACGCCGCACAATGTATTTGAAATTTTATGATACACACGACACGTGATACTTCTTATTACTACATTAACTACAAAGTACTCTATACTCTGTAATTAACGTAACATTATGAAAGTATTAGTGTTCATCGAGTTTCGATACTGACCGTCTCTCTGGAGAAATATGTAAATATTACTTTATACTCTTATGGTATATCTATACAGTTTACATTCTGAATATATTTGTTGGAAATGATTTGAAGTTTTTTATTATTATTTACCGCATCCGGTTTCACACCATCAGATTCGACCTTCTTAGTTGGATCTCTGTTCATCGGCAGACCTTCAGCTATTGGCGCCACCACTGGAGGCTTCACAGAATTGAATGCATTTCTCTTGAAATAGTACTGATTCGAATATCTATCATCCGGCCCTCGTGGTATGTCCGGAGGTGGGATAGTCCTAGATGCCATTTTTGGTGGAAAACGACCGTGCAAAGTATGTTTCCTTCCTAAAAGAAACTCACGCAATATTTGTAAACCTAATGATATGTCTCTGAAATCCCATTTTGGTTTAGACATTTTACCATAGAAATTTCAAATTTTACAGTACAAATATTATTATATGTCGAAATAGGTCAACTAAAAATCAACGTCAAAATTATTTTTAAATGTAAATAAATGAAAGAGTTATTCAAACTAAATTCTATTTCAATGGAATATTCTAAAACACTTTGTAAATAATGTTTAAAATCGGTAGTAGTTTCGGAGATAAGCGTTAATAAATATCAAGACGCATGATTAAATGATTCAAAAAAATATATTTTTTTCAAAAGTTCGTAGCGGATGACCGCACTATGCTGAGTTAACAATTGCTACTTAACACAAATATCACAAAACTTTATTATTAAAAAAAACTATGTTATACGTAGATTGTGTTATGTATGTATTGTTGTACATGTATCATAAAGCTAAACAGGTAAAGTGGAAAGTTATTTTTAATTAATATTTTAACTTGAAATACATTAAAAAATACTTAAAATGGATGTAATGTAGACACCAAATCTTAAAAATTGTAGACGAAATAGTGTAAATTCAAGGAAAACTACAAAAGAGAAGCAAATATTTTATTTATTGAATAATAATAATTATTATAGTAATTTACTAGACTTAAAAGAAGTGAACATCTGATATTTACACAAATTATATCTCAGTCAAAATCACACGACTCATCATCATTATGATTACAATGAACTTAATAACATTTTTCAATTAAAATAGGTAAATATACATAAGTCTGGTACCAATATTACGGTTTATACTACACTTTAGCTAAAATTGTTGGAAAGTTTAGACATAGATTAGATGTTATTAAACATCTATACTGCGACAAATACAGATTGAAATATGTTACAAGGAAACCAAGGCTTCACTTGAGTGAAATACTTTTTCTCCTTTACTTAAAAATCTTTCTTATGATACATAAATCACAGAGATTTTATGCAAAACTTTAGCTCAACTATGCTTTATGGTTCCACTGGTACATAAATACATAGAGATTATTGTAATTTTACACTTAAAAATCTGTGCTTTTTATAATTTAACTAACATCAACATATAGATAACTAAAACAGAGTTAAGAAATTAAAATACAGGCATATAGGTGTATAGGTATGTACCTATTTAAATATTAATAATTATCATGACACTAATAACTTGCACCATTTATATAAAATAATTTTTAAATGTTTAATAAAAAAATTTAAGATTTAATTTTAGTTAAAAATGAATTTATACCGGGTTGATTTTTCTTAACCTCTGGTGTGTTTTTCTTGATATCTCCTTTAGGTTTAGATTCTTTTTCTTTCTTTTCCTTCTTCTTTTTATCACTTTTTGGACTTTGATTTTCTAGTTCTGGTAGCTTCTTCTTTTTAACTTTTTTCTTCTCAGATTCCTCTGGTTCGATTGAAGATGTTAATAGTGATGTTGGATCATTCATAATCATGGATAATTTCCCAAAATAATTCCATAGAGCATCCACACAGTGCTCAGGTTTTCCACCATCACTTGTTTCCCACAATAACCCATACAATCTTGGTTTTAATTTTTCAGTTGGTTTCCTCATTTCAGATTCAAATTCATCCTCTAAATGTTTCAATCTAGCTTGTTGTGCTTCAGGGGATAGTGACAATACATCATCTTCGTCCATTGTGGCTTCCTGAAAAATATAAACAATCACACATAATACATCTATTGCACATACACTCTTTTTTACTAAGTATACAGTAGGCATTATAAAAAATAAAAAAAATTCAAGTTAATAATGCTAATACATCAAAAATAAATATGATTATTTTTGATGATATAGCTCGTAAAACCCCTAATATAACAATATAATGTGGAACAGATTTTTTTAAATTAGTCATAAATACTTGTACATAATGTCTTATTTTTTTTTTGTTCTAATCTTTGTTGCAAGATCAGTATACCTGGATGACTATGTTGGCTTTACAGGCAAGGTCTGCATGTAAGATTGTCAGATCAGTTTGTCAAAGACTTGTTTACCCATAGATATAGGCATTTGACATTGTGACTGCCAGGTTAGTTATCTTAATTTACATATACAGAAATAACACACCTCATCACTAAGGTATCCATGTGGCACAAAAACTTCATTGTCAACCTCATACTCGTCAGCATCCTGTTCATCATCACTACCGGCAGCACTACCATCAATACTTTCGCCTTCTTGCTCTTCTTCCCATTCTTCATCACTATCCACTTCATAGTCCAATTGTTTCTGAAATAATTATTTTACTTTATCATATCTCAATACAATAGAGAAATATTAAAATATATAATTCATATTCCATTAAATATTGAAGCAACTGAAAAATTTTCAAATTGAAATTCTCATCAGATTTGTGACTTTCTCTTTTTTTTAATAGATAATAATGGAATAGTAATCACGTCCGTGCTAACGGTATACGCTGGTGAGACACCAGTAAGGTATGATAGGTGAGAATGAAAAAGTAGGTCAATTAGCCCATCATGATAAATAAACCTGGAATTCAAGACGACGGTTTGCAGGGAGGACCACGTGGAGATCGACCTGACAGAATATATTACTAGCAATGGGAGTGGTAGTATGCATTACTAATAATAAATCCCTCCTCCCCACCCGGATTTGAGGCACACTCGTACAATACTAAATCCCAATTTCTTTTCATCCTTAAGTGTAAAAGACAAATAAAGAAACAAAGAAAGCACAATGCAAAAGCCAGAAAACACAAAATAAAACCCTATACCAAGCTATCTGGTTTGTATCCATGAACTACATATAATAACAAAAAAAAATGGTAATCACTTGATAGCTTTACACCTATAAAAAATTAAATGACAAAAGGTCCCCAGATACTGATAAAGTTTAATTAGGGTTGCATAAGGCTTAATATGGAAAAAGCTTACCTCATCCTGGCCAAAAGGTCTTCTAGGTTTAACAGCTGTGCTCTTTTTTCTCCATGTGCCCCAGTATGGTGGACGCCTATTCTCATGGAAGCTTAACAGTTTCGGACGGAGTTTCTCCCTTATAGCACTGTCACATGTAATAACCTCTCCTGTACCACTAAGAGGAGGTAACTCGTCTTCTGAAAATTAAAGTGATAATAAAATAAAGGTATAGAACATCAATAGAATTTTATACTATGCTTATGAGATTAAATAATGACAACAGAAATCTAGTCTATGCTATACTAATAACATAGAGATAAAATTTGACTACAGATTGGTCATAACATGCAATCTCTAGAATTCAGTCACTCAGTGTTGTGGGTGATCATGGGCGGCGGTAGTCACTTACCACCAGGTAAGCCGCATGCTCGTTTGCCCCCTGTTGTAAAAAAAACTCATAAAATATGTCAATAATCTGTCATAAAATTGAATGGTCCTAAATACTCAGTAGTGTCCTGAATTCAATGATTCCCTACAAGACAATGTTAGAGGGGCATGAAGAAATACATTTATGGGCTGTCAAGATGATGATCACCAACACAGTATAAATTTTTGTGATAGCAACCTTCACATTTGAACTACATTACCTGCTTACCAGGTGCGGTGTGGTTACTTTGACTATGTGACTACTCTAAAAATAAATCCATTAAAGAATTTAATAGGGGAAAGGAAAAGGGGTTGTTAATAATGGAGTCTCAAACACTATTGGTATTATATATCGCTAAATATACCATATCAGGTTGGCCTCCATGTTCCTCCTGGAAACCATCATAGTTAATTCTTGTAGAATTCATTATGATGGGCTAACTGATCTGCTTTCTTCTTGCCTATAATTTTTCACTAGTGTCCTGCCACTGTATACCAATAGTACAGGTAGGGTTACCATTCTATATCCACTCATTAAAAATAAAATAACTATTTTAAAGTATTTATTATAACCAATGGATATGATCATGTAAATTACTTAAAATCTGTGTATCAATTTCATAACTTTTATCCATTAAATTTTAGAGGTCTGAGGAACTAAGTAAATTTTCACATTATAATATAATAGAGAAAAAATACATAAGTATCAAATGTTTACTTACCAATTATCATGACATCATCATCTTTATCATCAAGTGGCCATGTCTTTCCACTTGAAAGTGGTTTAGAGATACCACTTCTAAGTTCCTTCAAATATAATGCTGATAATTCTTTGTCTTGTTTTTCCAAAAAAGTATCTAGCTCTTGCCGTTTACTTTCATCTAAGTTGGTTCTAACAATAGGAGCCAATCTCATATCAGCTTTAATTGTAAAGCTTGAAAGTACACTACTTTTACTTATGAGATCAACAATATTTTGGTCTTTTTCAATTTTTTGTTTAGGAACAAAGAAGTTTACAAAAGCCTCTGCAGCTTTCTTTTTCTTTAATTCTTGTTCTTGTTTCTCCAATTCCAAAGCTTCTTGTTTCTTTCGCTTTTCTTCCTCTCTTGCTTCTTTTTCCTTCCTTTTTTGTTCTTCCTTTTCTTCTTTTTCTTTCCGTTTTTGGTCTTCTTTTTCCTCTTTTAATTCTGAAATAAGACAATTATTAAATTAAATTGATGAAAATCAAAACTTATAAGGACAGTAAGACTACAGTCTATGGCAAGTCCCAAAAGGGTTTTAACATGAAAATTGAGAGATAGTAAGAAAAATTTAAACTTCATTAATACTTACTTCGTTCCAATTCCTTCTGTTTCTCCTTTTCTTCTCTTTCTTTTCTTTTTTGCTCTTCTTTTTCTTCCTTTTCTTTCCTTTTTGCTTCTTCCTTTTCTTCTCTTTCTTTTTTCTTTTGTTCCTCCTTTTCTTGTCTTAATTTTGCTTTCTCATCTTTTTCTTGTTGCCTCTTTCGCTCTCTTTCTAGTTTTTCTTTTTCCCTTTCTTCTTTCTTTTTAGCCGATTCCATTTTTTTCTGAAGCTATAAAATAAAATCATATATAAATATATTATTATCCTCATTCAGTCATTAATTGGTTATTGGTAATCATCATCATCAACATTTCAGCCATTACCCATCCACAGCTGGACATAAGCCTCCCTCGTAGACTGCCATAAAGAATAGTCCTAATCTACCTGAATTCACTGACACCCTGCAATGCTTTTCAGGTCGTCACTCCATCTAGTAGGTGGTCGGGCTATGTTGGTTATTTTTGTTCTTTTGCGGATATCCTCGTTTCGGATTCTATCACGCAAAGAAACTCCGAGCATAGCCCCTCCATAGCCCACTGAATAACATTGAGTAAACTGAGTCAGTTTGCACATGGGCAATCGTGTAAGACCATGTTTCGGTTCCATAAGGCAACACACTGGTTAAAGACTTTTGTCTTCAAATTCTGAGATATTTTGGATGAAAAGATATTGCATAATTTCCGGAACACTGCCCAGCCGAGGTGGATTCGTCGACCTTCCGTTCCGACTGACCGTCGTTAACCTATCCGTCGAAGCTGAATTCACCCATTCCTACAATTTGTCCCAGGTATATATACTCATCGACAACTTCGAGCATAGTGTTCTCAATCGTAACCAGTATATGTGTGACATGGACATTAGACATTTTAGTCTTGTTCATGTTCATCTTAAAACCTGCCTGTTGAGAAACACAATTGATGTCATTGAGCATAGTATTCAGGTCTTCCAGGGATTCCGCCATAATTATTATGTCATAGACAAATCGAAGGTATATATAATATCATTCATATTCACCATTGATGTTTATACTATATCTTTTCCAGTCCAAGAGTTTGAAAACATCTTCCAATGCAGCTGTGAAGAGTTTTGGGGATATGATGTGACCCTGTCTTACACCTTTCTGCACTGGGATGGATTACATACTCTGGTTCTGTACTTGGATAGACATCGTAGCCTTACTGTACATACACTTCAATACTTTGATATACCTATAGTCAATCTAGTACCATTAGAGGGACTGTAATACCACCCATGTCTAGACCCAATCAAAGGTTGTCTCATAATCTACAAACGCCAGACATATTGGCAGATTATACTCTTGTCTTCTGTATAATATACTGTAGTGTATGTTTTTAGAAGTCAGCTTGTTTAGGGCTCTCGAAAACAGTACATAGATGTGATTCAAAAGGGATATCAATCTATATTTTTTCTGTCAACCTTCTTGAAGAACAGGACTACCCCACTTCTGCTCCACACCTCTAGTGTAACATTGTTATAGATGATGAAATTAAATAGCTTCTGAAGAACTACAAGTATGGGTTTTCCACCTGTTCTCAGAAGCTCTGCTGTAATTACGTCCTCCCCAGGTGCCTTAACCATTTTCAAGCTGTTTGAAAGCCATTTCAATCTCTAGCAAACTAAAGTCCGGGATATCATTAGTATAGTGTAGGGCGATTTTTGGTGTTAATTTCTAATTAACTTTAAAAAAAATGGTTATATAATCAATAGATACTTTAAAATAAATATTTTCTAAATGTATATTTCTCAAAGAGTCTATATAGTAAAAATAGTTCACTTTCAAGATGTATTATTTTTTTTATTTTAAAAGTTATAATAACAAAAAAAAAATTATGTCCAGTTTCATAGTACATGCATATAAATGAAACAGCATGTTATAGTATGCTAATAGATAGTGATTGGAATTCAGTATCAAAATAATTCTATTATGAACAATTCGTAATATTTTATGAGGAATCAAGTGATAATTAACATTGAATTAAGCAATTTTGCATGTTGTCTAAATTTGGATGCATTATTTTACATAAGAAAAATAAAATACCTGTTTAGGAGTTAAATTTGTAGTTGATTCATTTAGAGATTCATTTCCATGACTATTTGCTGAAGAACTCCTATTATGTTTTGGAGTAGTAGGGTTTGAATTTAGTGTTTCATTAAAGTTATTGCTCGTTTTACTTTGATTATGTTCATCTACTTTATTTCTAGTACTCCTCTTTGAAGCTTCTTTGTCATTTGTTATTTTTTTCTCAATCAAAGATTGCTCAGTTTCCTCATTTTTACTCATTTCTTCATTTTGAGTATCACAAGTAGATTTTATTGTTGCCTCAATATCAACATTTATAATTTGTTTATTTTGGTATTTTTTACTAACTTCAACATTAGAATCACATTCATCTTCTAAATTTATAGTTTCCAGTTGATCTTTTTTAGAAGTGTCAACATTTTTAGATGAAGAACATGTGTCTTTTGATATATTTATATCTATTTTTATAGGACTTTGTTTACAGTCTGGTCCGCTGTTGTCTTCCTTGACATGTGATTCCTTCTCAACAGTTTCAGTTACATTATCATGCTGTAAATCTACCTCCATGACTTCATCACCACTACTTTTGTTGATAGAAATATCATTCTCATTGCATTCTACAGATACATTCAAATCTTTTGATATTCTTTTTTTCAGTGCTTTCTTCTTTTTTGACTTTTGAAGTTGCTTTTTCTTAAAAACAGTGTCGACTAATTTAACATAAGGATTTATAGGTTTCTCTATTTCTGGACACACTTGTTGGTCTTTAGAATCATCATCACTAATGACGACCAAGTTATCTACTAAGTCATTTTCGTTACTTATTTTACCGATCTTTGTGACAGATTCAGGATCAGGCGTTGAAAGTTTTCTTTTCCTTGTTTGAGGAGGAACAGGTGACGGTGAAGTTTCACTTATCAACTTAAAAGGGAGACGAGCTTGCTTTAATTTCTTTTTCGAGGGAGTTACTTCTATATTTTCTGGCGATTTACTATTTTTCATGATGATATGATGTATGATAATATGATGTATGATATAATAAGAAAACAAATTATTATTTAAACTATGAAATATACAAATATATTCAAAAATCACTAAAAGATTCGTTAAATAAATAAATAACACAACTCATTTCAACACATTCAAGAACTTTTAATTTGACAGATTCCAAAAACGCGGGAGTTCAACACGCGTTCGAAACAAATGTGTCATTGAAATTGGATTCCAGGTATTACAATCTGGCAACTACAAATTTAAATAATAACATAAAAAAATCAATATAAAAGCTTAAAGAGCGTAATATATTAATAAGTTAGAATAAAAAAATATCATTATCCCTTACTGAATAATATTAATAAAATTTCATAAAATAAATTAAAACAATTTATTTTATGAACCATAAATTCAAAGTTTTGAACATACTTTTTAAGCTCCTCATACACGAAGATAAATTTAGTATTCAACAATTGCAACAATAATCTCAAGGACTTGTATATTTATTTAAAGTTGATCATACATAGATATAATCTTGCATATTAATTTTTTAACAGAAAGTAGATTTAGTTATAAAGAATTAATAAAAAAGCATTTGTTAGTTTAAATTGTTTCTTGTGATATTTTAGTAGACATAAACAATATATATTATATAAATATTTTTTTTAATGCGATCTATGTTAAATCGATTAATCGAATTAGCGGAAAATTAATAATAACAATTTTAGTTCCTCAATGACTCTACAGTGGCAGCACTAGAAGTAAGTTTATTTTGAACAAAATAAGATAAAAAATATAACATGTCAAAAATTAAAATTGAAAACTAATATTGACAAATATGCTGTCAGCCTGCCTGATGGTAAGTAGTAACCGTTGTCTATAGACATGAGCAGTTCCATGGATATAACAGAGTATAATATTGTTTTGCCCATGATATCTCCCCAATGTACTGCCATTCCTGAGGATTCAAGTATTATTTCTCTGTACCCTATAAATTGATTGTATCATATTCCACCCTTGAAACCGAAACACAGCCATGCAAATACAGCTGCTTCACAGTAGAAACACGTTTAATTTTATGATGAAATCACAATAGCGCTAACTTAACTAACAAATAAATACTATCAAATGTAATACAAATGGCTTCCATTTAACTAAACTATTACATGTTACGCAGATGGGTACATTACCCACAAGTGCTAGAGACAGTCCAACTGCGAGTACCGAATGCTTATGTTAGCGCGCGCCGTCATCCGGTTACGTTTAATGCCCCGCCAGTAAGAACTAAACTACTTCAGCACGCTGCCTTAACTCACGCAGTACGGTTATTAAATAATATTATAAACACCATTGATATTTTTAGTAGTAGCCTACCAAAGATATTGATAGTCGGGTTAAATATATTTATTATACTTTTCTACACTAGGTTTATAACATTAATTTGGCTTTTGCTGTTATAATGTTGTAATTATTTTTAATGAATAAATAAATAAATATTTATGGAACAGTTTTAGCTTTGTATTTCATAGTTAGTTATTTATATTTTTAGAATTGATATGATATTTTGACGTGGAAATTATGACTATGTTATATATTATAGACTTTACTACGAGGTTTACTCTAGAAATGGACCAGATATTACGGGGAGTGTTGAAAACTTGTGTTTACTATCAATAATATTACGAAATTGAGATCCCAAGATAACATTTTATAAAGTAATAAATATATTTAAGAATATTGTTTTTATTATCATATTTGCTAAAAAAATGTTCATTGGAACATGCAATTTGACATAAAATATATATTTCTTTTATTATGTTATTTAATTCGCGTTTCTATTATTATATTATAATAAAACTATAACACTATTCGATTCCATTTTGAATATCAGGTTAGCCAACATAACGAGAAAAGAAGAATTTTGTGTAGATTAGTAAGATAATCCTGACCCAGTCGTTTTATGTGACTTGTACAAAGTATGTTCCTTTTCCTTTGGTTATATACTCTTTGGTTACAGCAAACATTGTGCTGGTATTTACTGATACGCCTGTTATGGAGAAAAGAAATGTGAATGCAAATCTCATGAGATCAAGATGTTAAAATGTATACTTTTCAATCGCAATTTAAGAGACAACAATTGGCTGATTTCATAAAGAAGGAGAAACTCTTTACCATAAAATCTTTTTTCCAAAAACAGCTACACAGAAGATGGATCTGGACTAACACCGACGGATAAATAAAAAATGAGAATAATACATCATGACAACTTTCAGTATTTAACAGGTCGAGAAACGAATTATAGATAGGCTGAAAAGATTATTTAGACTTCAGTCTACGCTTCAACCTACGTATGCCTTTATTGAAAACCCTGAGATAATATTAAGGATAGGCTAATGGAACCTGTTCAAGCAGTGGGAGTTAAATTTTGTAAGCCCCAATCCTCAAAAATATCCCGTGAAAATGTCTAAAGGCATTCTATTACATATCTCTAACTTAAACTGTTTTATAGATAATGACCTACTTCATTGATAAGTACCGCCTACTTAGTGATGTATCACGTAGAATGAATCATCACAGACTATAACAAATCTATTTTGAAATGTATGGAAACCATAATAACAATCGTAAGTATTAAAAAATGGCTCTTTATTAGTAAAAATGTCATATTACATATGGTATACTTTTTTTTTATGTAAATTAATTAAGGTTCTTAATTTATAATCTTAATTTTCTTTTGGTCATGCAGCCAAACAAGATATCTTGATCATTTACAATTAAGAAGTCGCTCACTTTATTGCAAAATGCATGTTATAATGTTAATGCGGATTACTGGAAAAAAGTGGTAAAAGACACTAAAAAATATGTATTTGAAGACTAGGAGTGAGATGTCCACTTTGATAGCGTTTATGATTAAGAATTTATAACCAACTTACAGGACAATTTTAATAGCAAACATAATGATGACGATAATTATAATTATGATAATAAATGAACATGATTTAAGTAATGTACTATTATATCAGTACTTGTATGTGTTATGTAAAACTTGCTCCAACTAACTGACTGAATAAAATTACGCATGAATCGTAATCCTCTTCTGTTGTTGTTATATTAACAAATTATTATTAATCCAACAGATCAGATATTGTTTTATAATCCATACTGCATAAACATGTACAATTAATATTGAATAATATGAGATTATTAATAGAATATATTCATAAAACGATCGAACACTACTACATCACTAACGTGAGCTGTCAAAATTATCATTCTAAAATTGACAGACCAAATTGTTTCTCATCGAATGCCATTTTATTTCTGTTTATTTATTCACTAAAATTAATTGAATTCAGTCGCATGGAGTCCAGTTATTATTCTTTTATATAAATGCCGTGACGAAAAAGTGTTGAAGATGAGTAAGATGTCAAAGAATAAATTGAATTTGACCCTCCCACCAGGGTCTATCGACACGGCCCCGGCGGTCAGCCCGTCTAACATGACTCCGCAGCTGAAATCTGCGACAGCTTCTGAGTAAGTGGACAAACTTTTATTTTTTCGGAAGTAGGTATTTAATTAAATAAATTGAAATTATTTTGCGTATCTGATCAGTTTATAATTTTTTAATTATTAAGTATTGGTTCAATATAGATAGGACTATTTAATCTAAAATGTTACTCCAGTGGTTTATATCTGATTGAAATTTGGCAGAAACAAATTTTTGTAACATGATTTAATTTTACTAAAATGGTACTGTACAGAAACTAGGTAAATATTCTTGTTTGGCTTGTTTTAGGTTAAAGGATGGGATATGAAAGAAATTACAGGGTATATAGGTACAAAATCTTTAGTTTTCAGAAATGGTGATGTATGAGGAATATCATTGATGAGTGTCTCTGTAGACTATGACCTGATTTAATTGATATGGTGTGATATAATTATATATTAAAACAGAAATAAAAAATGTCTGCTAACATAAGATAGCGCAAGAGTTTGTTTGTTTGTTGAAACATATAAATCTATGGAAATACCTATCAGTTTTATTTTTTGCATTTGATATATCATTGCTTGAGGAAGGTTATTGGCTATTCAAAATCACGATGCAACCACAGATAAAGCTATGGGATATAGCTAGCAATAAATATTGGATAGAGATTAGGGGTATATCTATTTATCTTATAATTCAAGTCTGTGGTTGTCTTCTACATTATCTTATTTACTCATTACCTTATGCTATATAGTATGATTCATTTTGTTTAACCACTAGAGTTGTGTAGATTGTTATAAGTATTCATACAAATGAATTAAATAGGGATTGACAAAAAGTTGTTATTTTTAAAGACATATTTTTCAGGTGTGTAGGTTATGATTTATAACTTGTACCTGTCTCTGATAATTATTTATATTTTTAGAATTAAGGTCTATATGTTTGTCTTTTATGTTGTATGCATCAGTTTATGTAATAATATGGTTTTTTTTTTATATTTTATATAACTAGTAGAGTTCAATACATATTTTATTATATGGGTATAAAATTTCTGTTATTGTATGAAATTCATTCGTTATGTGAAATTGCATGAATAGGGAAAAGTGATTATTGTAAATTTTGTGATCTAAACTTTTTTTAATAGGTGAATATGGGATGGTAACCCTGCTTGCACTATCAGTATATGTTAGTGGAGTACCAGTGAGAGATGAAAGATGAGGATGAAAGCAGGTCTGTTAAACATCATGACAAATTCAACAAGATTTAACCATGATGGTTTTCAGGAGGGAAAGGTCATGGAGGTCAACCTAATATAGTACATCCCATACAAACAATCCTTGGGCTGAATGTTCCAATGTTGTCTATTTTTAAAAAATAACAAATTTATATAATTGTCTCTTTCATCTTATTATTGTTTCTAGGCGACAGGGTTTGGCTGGCAAATCTAAGACCAGCATAGAAGCCCTGACTGAAAGGCTGGAGCAAATTGAGATGGATGACACCCAAAGGCGCAGAATCGAAGTGTTCCTCTGCCAAAAAGAAAAGATTGGGGAACTTAGTGATGATGACTTTGAGAAGCTTGGTGAATTAGGTAATTGATTCTTACAATTTCAGTGTAGATTTTTAGAGGTAAATATTATTATTGTGTCTAATATTTTTGTTAAAAGAACTTTATATTGATGGTTTTCTCTTAGCATCTTATATATTGGGGTGCTTAAATTAGTTCAGTTCTTAGGTAGGGCAAATATAATTTTGTGAATGAAAATTGAGTCTAATTTTGGATTATAATGGTGTAATAGTGGTTGAGATGCTGATAGTACTATTTGTAATGATAATTCAGTGTAGGAGCTAAGGTAAGTGAGCATAGCGAAGTGATTTATTATATTTTTACAGAATAAACCTTGTGCGAGCAAAGTTAAAGGAAAATCATTATTTTTAAAATATTTTGTTATAGGTCAGGGAAATGGTGGTGTTGTTATGAAGGTTCGGCATAAGTCCACTGGCCTGATAATGGCTAGAAAACTCATACACCTGGAAGTGAAGCCAGCTATAAAGAAACAGATCATCAGAGAACTCAAGGTGCTTCATGAATGCAACTTTGCCCATATAGTAGGCTTCTATGGGGCTTTCTACAGTGATGGAGAAATTTCTATTTGTATGGAATACATGGATGGTGGTTCGCTCGACTTGATACTAAAGAAGGCCGGCAGGATTCCCGAATCAATTCTAGGTAAATAAATGTTTATACTTAAGTATTAGATACCTAAAAATTTTTTCTTAATTAATTTATAGTGAAGGCTTTGTGACTGTCAGTTATAAAAATGAGAGATGGAATAAATAATATAGTCTGTATAATTTTACTAAGTAAACATGGATTTAAACAATCTTGTCTTTTTCATTAATTTTTTTTTTCACAGGATTTTGTAGCAAAATTAATATGGGACAGTATGCCGAATGCAGAAAAAACTTAGTAAAAACCTCTTCAATTTAATAGATCATTTGTTTTTTGTTTAATTTATAGGAACAATAACATCAGCAGTACTAAAAGGGCTGAGTTACCTTCGAGATAAGCACGCGATTATGCATCGAGACGTGAAGCCGTCCAATATTCTCGTCAACAGTAATGGGGAGATTAAGATTTGCGATTTTGGTGTGTCGGGTCAGCTCATAGATTCTATGGCCAACTCATTTGTTGGCACTAGGAGTTATATGTCTGTAAGTATATTATATTCAGTTGATTTTTCTTTTTTTATTTTCTATTTTTAGGTCTAAGCTGATAAAAAGATTAATATTATTTTGGAACAATATTAATATTATATATAAATGTCAAAGTGAGTTTGTTTATTACCTTTTAACATCTTTTTCAATCACTGAAATTTGGTATACGTGTACTATAAAGGTTGAAGTAGGATCAACTACTTTTTATCCCTGTCAATGAATATATTCTGTCACATGGATGAAGTCGCGGATAAAAGCTGGTATATGCAGTAAGTGACGAAAGAATATACATAATTATTTATGTATTTTATTTTACAGCCTGAACGTCTGCAAGGCACTCATTATTCAGTACAGTCTGACATTTGGTCGCTGGGTCTATCATTGGTTGAGATGGCGATAGGTATGTACCCCATCCCTCCGCCGGACGCAAAGACCTTGGCGGCCATATTTGGCGGACAAAATGAAGATCATTCACCAGGGCAGGTTAGTTCTCGTGTAATATGGACAAGTTTGTATTTATATTTTATTCTAATAATAGCACATATAAGAGAGTTACAAGGAATTCAGTAATTTACAATGATTGCTTTGAGTGCAAAAATACTCCGTTTTAGTATTAAAAATTTTTTTAAGTGTATTTGGTGAAATAACAGTTGAGTTTCTTGCCCTTTTCATAGTTGAAATGGCATTCCGAATTGGGCAGTAGGATCATAAAAATACTGAAAATGATTATAATTAATTACTTGAATATATATATGTATGTATTATTTATTAGATTTATGCTAAAACTAGAAATGTATGCAGGCTCCGAACTCGCCACGTCCCATGGCCATATTCGAGCTCCTAGACTACATTGTTAACGAACCACCGCCAAAATTGCCGTCCGGAATTTTTTCCGATGAGTTCAAAGACTTCGTCGATCGCTGCCTAAAAAAGAACCCCGACGAGAGGGCGGACCTAAAAACGTTGATGGTGAGTAAAATTTTAAGAATCTATTCTTAATTAAAAGAAGACAAGTGAATGAATCTATGAGTATTTATATCTCTTTGTACTATGGTAGCAATGAAATAGATTAATTTTACCTTAACGTGGTTATAAATGAAATTATTTATCTCTTATACTGGAACCTGTTAAAGAGTACTTGAAATCGGAAATCGGGATTTGTTGAATATTAATATAAAATATATTTAATTACTTAAATCTCATTTACTAATTTCCTTTACACATTTTCAACATTCCCTTCCTTTTTTTCCTCAATCCTTTCCTCCATACCGCAGGTGGTGGAAACCACCAACAAATGCATTCCCAAAGAGGGTTGACGTCAGGCAGATGGCCCATCGTAAAACTAAAAACCAAATCTTTTTGTAATATGGACAATACCATATTATGCCGACCTCAAATAATAATTGGGATAAGGCTAGGAAGATGATGATGATGATATCCAATTGCAAAACTTATTAACTGATTGTAAATGTATTTTTTTTATCATGCAATATGTCATGTGTAAAAAGAGTTCTTAGGTAAGCTATTTAAAAACAAGTTTATATTGTATGAGAATTACCCCGCGACCCTTCGAAAGTGAGGTGTACTGTACCACTACATTACCAGATAATCAAAATGGCACATTACCTCAGCAAAACGAATTCTATTATTTCAGAATCACGAATGGATCCGCAAGGCGGACGCCGAGAAAGTGGACATAGCAGGCTGGGTGTGTAAAACTATGGACCTCATGCCTTCTACGCCAAATTCTAACGTGTCTCCTTTTTCTTCATAAGCTGCAAGAAGTGCATACTTTCATCAGCGAAAAAGGGTATGCCAAATTCGTAATTGACTCATACTCATTACGCAATTTTTAGCTTTAATACAATGGATATGACCCTGATATATTAGATTAGGTATTTAACCTTACATATCTATCCGTCAGGGTCAAATGTACTTGTAAAAATTATAAATTTTCTCAATAATACGTAATTACATTACACCCTATCTATTTTCTACTGTTAAATTATATAGAACTCCCCTTTATTATGCTATAAAGTACGATTCTGCGCCACTTGCATTCAGAAATTCCTTGCAACACGTTTGAGATCGACTCTTCATCTCGTGGGGAGTTGATAATTATTTTAGTTGGAGTACAGATATAGATTATTCATAAAAACGTCAAATCTCTCATAAACCTATTTTAGCTATTAAAGTAGTTTGTTTTTTCTTTAGCACTAATTTTTCAATTTGAAAGACTGACAAAATACTCTAATATTTAATGTAGATTTGTAGGAGTTTTAGTTTTTATGAATAAGAGGGTAAGAATATAATAGATGAATATATAGACATAAATTTATTTGTATCACTTACAACACACGAATAATAACAGATAAAGGCATGCACAAAAAACAGAGAAAAAAATATATAAAAAAGGAAATTTCATTAATTTTTGAGATGTGTGAGCCACTGTAACACAAAATTGCCACAATTTAGTTTATTGCTTTGCCCTCAAAAGGTTAAATCACTTATTTTCTATTGTAGTCAAGAGAAATGTTTCTTCACAATTAAATTTCGAAATTTCACACATAAATTACTAATAGAATGTCATAATAAGCATTCATATATAAGTAAAGTCGCCTATTTGTATTATACTTTTGAGGATAATTATAATATAAAATGATAATAATAGTCTTGTTATATAAATAGTCCTGGATTTTGAAATTAAGCAATGCATGCAAATAGTTATGGGCCCAGCATTGTTAAATGGGTTCGTTTAATGGCCTCTGCTTGGTCGAATCCAGTCTTGGATGTAAAATTTCTTAAACCTCAAATAAATTACAGGTCAAAACATATCCCAAGAGAGAACGGGCGACACAATAAGTGAGGACGCTGGCGCAGAGGAATAGAAGCCCTGACACCAAGCGATGACAGTTCACAGTATGTCAACTCTAGATACCATTGTCCAAACAAACAGGCGAACACAACTATTACATAACGACATTTAATGAGGGACGTGGTTTTAAAACACTGTCACTATCATGTGCCTTCGCGGTACGTGTTTGTGATTAATTAAGAAATATCACTTTATATTTTAATCAACTAATGTTGCAGCATAGACAAGTATCGTCATACTAAGTATTGATAATTGTACTCTGTCTGTAACTCGTAATAGTGTCTACATGTTATAAAAGTAACAGATTTCTTGTTTAATCACAAATGTTATTCAAATATCAGTGATGGGATGTTTACCATAATCACGTCTCATTGTTAATTAAAACTTATCAAATCACAAAACAATTAGCATTCTTCGGGAGATACCTGTCATCGAATAATGAAACTCAAATTTAATAATTTAATTTATAGAATTGGCTAAAATTAAGGTAAATTTTGTAGGAATTATTGAAAACAATGTGTTACGCTACACTTTGATATCGATTTTAATGCTGTTCGGTGCGATTTCCAATGTAATTGTATTGCAAGTCACAACTTTTAATTGTAAGCTAAATTTAGCTGACATAAAGCGTATCAATAAAATATGATTGGTCAAATTATAATGTTGTATTACGTACGTAATCCGTAATGGGTTTACATGTCATTTTCTTTGTGTTAATTGGGTACATTGTGACTGCTATGCAATTTGGTTATCGTGCAATGGAAGTGAAAACTTTCCTTCTCATATACAGGCTATATGAATACGTGAAAGTTGTGGATTGTGAGTAACCGATACCAAGGTGTCTGAAGATAGATAGGGGTATAATACTAAAACATAGTGCATTCGTGGACGAACTAATCGAGGTTTTATAACGAATAAAAAAACAACTAATCGATTAATGGTCAAGTAGAGTTGATTTCACTAGTCGCAAGTCGAAAAAAATGTTAGTAGTGTTTTGACATATTTTTCTTTGCTGAAAGTGCGTAATTCATGTCAGCTGGTACTTGGTATTTGAATATTTGGACGTGCTGCAGTAATCTGCACGCGCGTCCGAAGTACTGGAATACTCCAACGGCCGCGGTGCGCGGGCGTGAGAGCGTTCCAGAACTCGCACGAACATCTTTATAACATGTAAAATAGAATGCATTTTTTAGACGACAAAAAAGAAAAAAAATATAAAAAATAAAAAAACGTAGGTATGTTTTACTATTTTGACGTGATGCACTTTTTACGTTTGGTTTGTTGTGTTAATCGCTTCGTTTTAGTAAGTCCGCCATTTTTTTTACCCTGTCCCGAGCACCTAGTGTAGATAGTTACCACTTGAGGCTAATTGTTGCTTCGATGTGTTTGCGCTATTGAACGAGGCACCATTCATTCGCGATTTCATTATTATATTTATGATTTGTGATTGTAAATCAAATCCCCGAGCTTCCATTATGCGGCGTTACCATTGTTTTAATCAGTTCACCTGCTTTTATGACCTCTATTTGGCGGACAGTTTTGTGTTATCGAATTGATTATCCCCGAAACTGTTGCGCCAATGAGAGTAATGTCGGAAAAGGAGACTTATATTTTATTAGCTCCTGCATGAATAATATATCTACGCTTGAGCTTAGCTTTGCAAATTTTATTTTGCCAGGTCTTCCTGTTAGAATGGATATTGTTTATTCACATTTCCCAGATGTTTGTTATGTATTCATTGAGTGTGGAGTGTTACGCCATTTTTATTGTGCATTTATTTATTTTTGTGTTACATCAAGATGCTTAATTATTAAGTAGATTTAATATATTTAAAAGGTGCTTTTAAGTTGTTGCTAATTGAATCATACACACATATTTATTGTTTTATCTGTAATTAAATAAATAAAAAAAAATTAAACAAAAAATGTTTTTTGTATATCAGTCTTCTCGTGTTTAGATAGGTGTTTAATTTAATTCTTAAGGTGTATTGTGTGTAATCACCGTGATAGGTTTAAGTTAATAATTAATAGTCGATGTATTCCAAACAAAATTTATTAATTAAGTCGAATTATAAAAGTCTGATATTTGGATACAGTTCGTTTAGTTTACGGCAGTCTTCTATTTGGCGTCATCATAATAAAGCAACACACATGTATATAAAGTCCACATTGTGCTAAAGATGTTTTAGAATAAAATCGTTACGATACGAGTACAAGTTACTTTAGCACTAATTTGTCTATTTCTATTGATCCAAGGACAAATATTCAAAGTGAATTATTATGTTTTATGTATTTTTCCTTTTTTTACGGTTTCATGAAAAATAAAAATAATCAGTAACTTGAAGTATGGTTTATGATCTGAATTAAAGATTTCTTAATTGTATTCCGTTCAATTTAAGAAATAAAGTACATGTTTTATTTCTTAGTAATTAATTATCCCAGTAAACGTCAATCTACTAAGAAAACGACTGTGGAGTGTTTTGTATTTTTTTTTGACTTAATTTTTATTAATTAGAAAAAGTGACAGAACATAGGTGTTACCTTTTATGATTAAAAAGTGTATTATGACATAATAATATAAATTTACATATGTATCCGTGATTATCATGTTTTTAATTTCATTATATTATATTTTTTTATTTGATCGTTGATAGCATGATCATTTATATATTACATTATTTTACTTTCGACTTGAACGAATTGTTATAACTCTTCCAATTTGATAATAAGGAATGTGATATATTTATTTCCAAAAATAATCACTAAATGTTGACGCTCAATGAAGATTCAATCAGTACAGCGATTATGGATCAAATTTATTAAGTTTATTTTACTATAATTTAAAATAAAAAAAAAAAAAAACCTAAGATAAGTTAAGAAGACACTATGGTAACAGACATAATAGTTTTGACTGTTCTAAGTGTTTTCTAGATAGATTGAAAACCACATTGTTGGTATTATGTAAGTATGCCTACGTATTGAATCCTACTATTTATGTATTAGAGAAGGGTATTCAAATCGACTCTGCTCTTCATGTATTAAATTTAAAGAAACCATTTATGTATTTTTGTGATGAATGTAAACGATAATATGTAAGGGTTCTTTGTAGTTGATTATAGTCTGCTCTTGTTTATTTGGCTTAAGGTGGATTTAAGACAAATTTGCTCCTTCTTCACAAATTTTCGACTAATTTCGCGACATTTTTCTTGTTGTTGATTAGTCTTGAGTCATTTTCAAAACTTTCAGTAATTTTACATAAATTTTTCTTGATCAGTTGAAGAATTACCACATGATTATATTATTATTTAGTGAATTTCAATTAGAATTGCCAATTAATAGAGGGCAGACAAAGTTGCCAGTAGGTACACAGAATAGAAAAAATAGTAAAGTGCACATGCCTTACTTATGATATGAAATTTTTATAATCAAGTTACCCCGATTATAAGTAAGATTAATAAATTATTTGATATTTTATTGTAGAATGCATTGTTTTTGAAATAAAGTATCATTTAATTGTACAATTATTGTACTTTTAGATAAGACATTTTATGATTTCTAGATACCTCTGGTTTGCTATTGTTACCATTTTTAATCAGGTAGGCAATGAGATTGTTTCATTCCAAGTTATATAAAAAATCGATGCATTTTCTACATGTTTTTTTTTCTATTCTGTGCCAATGATATAATCAACTCGTATTAATTACTAGTTGTATACTTTGTGTCTATAGAAATTATTAATAGAGATTCGCATCGACGATCTCTCAACGGAACAAAACACCAATTTAGCAAAAGTTGTACAGATTCTATGACGAAATGTGTTTTAATTTTTTCGAGAAATAACTTACACATCTTACAGTTCTGGTTGAGTTATATATTTCACTATAATATTTATATTTAATACATTTTAATGTCAGTCAATATTTTTAAAATCGCGTCCGATGTCACAGGCCAGGCACACACTATGCTATGTTCTTATTTATTGGTCTTTGCTTACATAACATTCCACTTTTATGTTAAAAATTAGCTTGTCAAGTTTTAGGGAGGTATATAATATAATGTCCTTGGAAAGATGACATTATGCGCCCATGGAACTCGCTGCCACCCTCTATATAGAGTGTTCAATCCTTAGCTTCGTTTAAAGGAGAAGTCAAATCATATTTTCCTTCACTATAGTTACTCTTTTCCATTCTTCTGTAATTTTTTGACTCGATTCATCATATTTCCTTGTGTGTGCTATGTATGTATTTATATGTATATGTTTATGTATTATAGTAAGTATTGTAAGTAGTTTAATAAATTATGTTTTTGATATTTTTGTGCAGTATAGGTTTTTGTATTTTATTGCACGAAATAATTATTAATTTACTCTTGCGCTACATACTCACTTCTATCTGTTCTCCTATAACCAAAGGTTATCTGTAAGAGATTGCTCTAGCGATAAGACCGCTTTTTAAACCTTTATGTACATATTCCAATCTGTATTTATGTTACTGTAATTCACTTTAATTATTCAATTGTCATTGTATATTTTTATGTTTCTGGTGCAATAAAGAGTTACATAAAAAAATAAACAATAAATAAATTATTTTTCATTAATTTGTATGTGTATTATTACTATAAAACAGCGCAATATATGAAAAAAATACTATATGAATACGTTTGTAAAAACAACTTTTTATAAAAAAAAAAAAAAAACAAATGCTTATGAAATATTTCTGAACAACCCAAAAATAATGTTTACAATTTTCTAAAGCTGAGAAATTTTCACTTCTGACGTGCAGTCCTATGACTGATTTTTTTAGGCACTTAATTTTAAAAAAACATCTGTTTATCTCTATCTTCATTACTATTCTTTTTTGTTTTTGTGCATATATTATTATATATAAGCACAACCTAATGTCGGTGTTCAGGTCAGTACTATTTTACCATAGTTTGTATCCTGAATTGCCTAGTTGGAGAATCCTGGAAATTTTCTGAAGGAGTCCAAATCTGTTAAAGATTTTCTTTTTATAAATAAAAATGGCAGCGCGTGCCTGGTCTGATTTTTAAATTTCGCTAAGCCAACGTAAGTGTATTTATATAAAAATAAATTCGTATTATTTATAGTTAGTTTCTTTGTAGTTAGATACTTATGTACAAATAAATGTTAATTAAAATACTATATTGTTTTATTTCTAATATAACACTTGTGCAAATGTACTTATATAAAATGGCTTTTGTACTAAAGGTGAAGTCAAACTAATAATTTTTTGCATTCTGTTTTTATAAGCCTTTGGAAAGAAGGTTCATTCGACAATATTTATGATATATAAACTTCTATGACCAAATTTATGTGCATACGTATCGTGGAAAATTACCAGTATGTGTAAATATTAGATAAATAGATAGATACCACCCTCCAAAAGATTACAGTAGTAAACGTAGTAAAAATACAAGAAAGAAAATTCCAGGAAAAATGTCACGTAATAAAGATCTTATTGGGAGAATTTGTGTTTACTTGCTATCCTACTTGTTACTAGTACAATACAAAGTTTTATAATTAAACAATTTGATATTGAATTTGATAAATCTTATTACATTATGAGTCTGTTTTTATGCTACAGTCTATTTGTCGTTTACAATTCGTTATTAATACCTACTTGTATAGTATTTTCTGTGTTTATAACGTATCGAGTATTTATTATCTATCTATAAGTAGCTATGAAAAATTGTTCAACTATTTACCTATTCCAGGGACAATAGCACATGCACCATATTATTGTCAGAAACCATTTATTTACACTTTACAATAGTGATGTTGACTTAATTTGTTGAACACAACGCATTGTCTCTTAACAATAGTAAAGGGCTTTTTTTTTTAATTGGAAAGTGCTCACCTCATCTATAAAGTACTAACTGATTATTAATTTTATTTGATTGATGTTATTAATTTATTGATGCCTTAAAACAGAAATACAATACAAGCTCTCAGAAAACTATAATTAGGTAGTAAGACTTCTCATAATAAAAATCTTTTTTATTTAATTTTTCTTACAGACTAGGTTCAAGATTGATTATAAAATAATTTATAAAATGGGTCGCAATGGTATTTCGTCCCCTTTCAGATAGCGAAGGTAATTAGGCGTAGATAGGCTGACCTTGTTTTAATCTATTTGAATACTCTCCTCACCTTTGAGCTTGAGCTATAAGGCACGTGATTTGTAGAAGCGAAGCGCCCCCTAACGGCCGGACATTAAAATGAAATATGCGAAGTTGAATCGTAAGAGGTTAGAGGGTGAGAGTTCTTGTTCCTCATTATAAATGTGCGTAAATATTGTTTCTGCGAAGAGCCCTTTTGTCTGGCCCCATTAAGAACCCATTATGAGTTTGGGTTTAATCCCCGCTGCGACTTTTGGCAAAATGTTTAAGAAAAAATTGTTCTTGCCGCTTGCGATTTTTTTACCCATAAATAAGTATTAGGGATGAGATTGGTATCCACGGATCATTTGGTACAAGTTTAATTATGTTTTGTAAATAAGATTTCTGGGCCGTTTCCCGCTGTTTTTATTTTTAGAAATCCGTTAGACTTCGTATTATAACTTTTTAACTTATTTATCTAGGTATATGTACCTATACAAATATATAGATAGATATATAATTTATTTGCATTACTTAAAACACACAAATTACAACAGACGAAGATAGACATACATGAAAAAGAGATAAAAGTATATACATACAAAAAATACAAAAAAGAAGTAATGTATAGAACAAAATAGTTTTCAGAGCCCCCGTTTACAAAATACTATAATAGATAGGTGCATAATTATATGTCGAAAAGTCAATTCACAATATAACTAGAAAGCCACTATAAAAGTTGACAGAATTCTGCCTCATTCAAGTTCCTTATTTTATTATTTGCTATTAAAATATAAGTAAGTATATCGAAATTAAAACTTTTCTACTTGTATAAGGCGTTATTTATTGGCACCATATTTGAGTTCAATTTTAGTTCACGAGGTTTCTAGTCTAAATTTTTTTTATATAACTTAGAATGGCAAACAAGCTGACGGCCCACCTGATGGAAAGTGGTAACCGTCGCCTATAGATATGATCAGTACCATGGACATAACAGAGTATACTGTTTCGCCCATGACACCCCCCATGCGTTACCATTCCTGAGGACTCAGATGTTATTCCTCTATACCCTGTAAATCCACGCCATATCCCACCCTTCAAACCGAAACACAGCCATACAAACACAACAGCTTCACGGTAGAAACATGAATGGTAGAGAGGTACCCAAGCAATCGACTTTTGTACAAAGTCTTCCTCTGCTTCTATTGATCTATCTATCTAGATTCTAGTGATGAGTACCTATTATCGGTTTAAACTTCAAAGAAATTATCTTAATTCATAGAAATTTTGCCGCTCCGGGTAGAAATAATATTTGCCGGCTATTTTAGCAATTCAGCCGCTTTAGTTTTCATCACTTTTGCTCACTACATAAAACAAACTCTAATAATTATTTAGTACCTACCTACTAAAACACTTGTTCTATTAAGGTGTGTACAGGTATTGTCAAATTATGTAGGTATTAGTAATTTTATGTCATATCAGGGGTGTTCTTTCATAGTGATCTGTCCGGTTCTAGAGTAAAGGCACACGTGTAACTGCAGTTTTTTACTAGTACCTCTGCAACTGCAGTGCCCTCCTTTTCCCTTTTGCCCATAAATCTTTCACTTCACGTTGGGAGTGAGCAAAGGAAATTGGTAAAAAAGAATTTTACCAACTTCCTTCACTTATTCCCAACGTCCCCTCCTTTTTGCTCAATCCTTTCTTCTGCTGGCGGATACTACCTTCAAATTCATTCCTTCTTAGGAATATAATATATAATTAACGTCAGGCAGGCGGCCGATAGTAACACTAAAAGTAAAAAAATTAATAATTAAAAAAAAAATATTTTACGTCGACCCTATAATTGAGATAAGGGCAGGAAGATGATGATTTTATATCATATCACATCACGATTTACTGACAACCGATTTATTTATTCATACTTATATAATTTTTGTACAAAGTTATATAAGTAGATGACCAATTAGTTTAGACGTATTTTCGATTTATATAACTTCGGTATCGATAAATTTTGACATCGGACACCTACATAACTAATGGACTTCTCTATGTATTTACAAAACCCTTCGTTGTTTTATTACTTCAAATTGGCTTCAATTTGGAAAGTTTTGACGAGACTTAAGTAAAATTCTACAGCGTTACTATTGATATAAATCAAGTTTATCGGAAATAATGTAACTATATCTGTTTTCAAGTTAACGACTTTACGGCATTGGCAGAAACAGAGAGCTACCAACAGTACAAACTAATATAGACAGAGGATATATTTGATTTCTTGTTTGTAATTGATAAACTTCAAAAATACTTTACTGATTTTAAAAATTTACATATAGAAAGCTGCATTATCAGCTATATAACATGGGCTATATTTTATTAAAAAAACCGAGCGAAGCTAGGAGAAGTTGCTAGTTTATATTATAATAGTGTGAAGGTTATGGTGGTATCTGCTGTTAAGAGTTTTAGATCACTTGGACGCGAAAGACGGCAAATGTCGCCTCCTATATGCAGGTATTTTTTCCGTTCTATGTACGTATATAGATACCTACGTAAAAAATACCTACCTATTGTCGACTTAACAACCTCATCCTTTATTAAATCTGTTCAGTTCAAAGAGCGAAACTGTCAAGTTTTTACGACAAATGAAATTCAAAATTTAAGGCTTGTTATACAATAGAGTCACGTCTAGTCTAGCGACATTTGTATACCTACTTTGTTGAGAAGAACGAAAGTTTGAGATTGTTCTTCATTTTATATGCACTTTAAGTTAAACATTGTATTTTGAGTTGGATATGTAAATTCAATTACGGGATTAATTTCTTCTGCTCAGTAATTTCATTATATTTTTTAAAAGAAACTCATTAATGGACGAAAATATATTTAATAGACATCTTGGAATTTAGTACGCAGACAGAATAGTGTATCTGTCATAGAGTAGTAATAACTACGCAGAGTCAGAATAGCTTTTATATTAACGCAAATGGAAAATGAAACTATGCAACCATGTAGTAATACTTTTAAGTGGATGTATAGTTGCTTTGTGGAAGAGACTTGCTTAGTGTCGTCTACAAGTAAATTAAATCTAAGTAGAATAGGTTTTTGTTCTAAAAATAAAAATGGTTACTTTAGTCATGATATAATTTTATTAATCTAGAATTTGTACGGAATTGGCGAAAGTTTACCTAATGTATATACAAAGTACACAAGTGACTTGAACTTTGTCATTTTTGGTAATTTCTTAAAAGTAATGAATATGTAATCTCAAGATTTGTAGAACTATGATATATCAAAACGGAAATAAAAAAAAGGTACTAGATATTACCTGAAGACAATGGCTGTATAGGTTTAGTTCTTTTGTCTTCCCAATTTATAGGGAAAACGGTACGAAAAAAAGTAGGTAAGTACCTGTTAATTAACAACTATTAATAATTTAAAAAAGCATAAGATACTCTATTTCTAAATAGTAATAGTAAATAAAGTAGTAAATAGTAATAAAGTCGTTCTCCGCATTATTTGTTTCTCTGCTTACTTTTATTAAATTACGCAATGGACTTTGACGTGGGTTTCATTATCATTTAGATATTTTTTACAGAAGGTAATATGAGAAGATAAATTTAATATAATATAGGCAGATATATTTAATGTTTCGTAATAAACTTCTGGGAAGCCGGAGTCGATAATAAATATTTTCAATAATATATTAATTATCATAAGTTCGTTGTATCAAGTCTCCTAAAATTTTTTCCCTTCTGACCTTAATAGTTCTTGTAATTTGTCTCTTTCCTTTAACTCTAAAAGGACCTCCTCATTACTAATTCGATCTCTCCAGCAAATTTTCTCTATTCTTCTCCAGCACCACATTTCAAGACCAAAACATAGTTACATCAGGCAGATCAAGGAAAAAGTTGGTGTCGTGTCGTATCAAGAGGTGAAGAGACTTGCAGAAAATCGTAGTGAGTGAATAGGATAGATAGATTAATCATTATAGATTCGCAATCATACATGATAGCAGTAAACGTATTTGTAGGCTTCTGTCCAAGCACA